CAAAATGACGGAGGCAGAGAAAGATGCACTCGAGGATTCAGCCTTCCGAGGTCTTTTCATGGCACCAAGGACCCATCTTTCCGCCCTCCACAGGGCACCACGCAACACGAAAGAGCCGATCCGATGCATCCGAGGCCACCAGAGGAGGGGGAGGGCTGTGCTCAATTATTGGTAATAATAATAACAATAATAATAAACAAAAGAAGAAAAAGAAGATAAAACAGGACGCAAGGAAGGATTATCTTCGGCAGCATCTTGCGGTGGGTTCTCTGGCGGAGATAGAGAATATATATCTATATACAGGCAAGGCAGGGAGGCTGGGGAGGGTGGTGCTGGCACCATTCACCCCATGTCCCCGTCCCCCTCCCCTCCCACGTCCTTCACAAAGGACGGGCTATCAAGTCTGTAACTCGCTAGGTGATCAAGTCCCAGTCGAAATCATCGGGGATTTCCTCATTGGCGCCTGGAGGAGGCCCTGGAGGCCGAGGGACCAGATGGTGAGCTGAGCCAAAAACAAGAAAAAAAGAAGAGAAAAGAAAGAGAACAGTTAGAATAAACAATGTCACGCTTTTTCACAGTGGGCCCTCAGGCAAAAGAAAGCATAAGGGATTCGGGCCTTCTCCCTTCCAACAGTCTAACAAGCAAGAACACTACTGGCATGAATTTCTCCCTGTCAGACAGCACCTACCAATGTCTGTAAGGTGGTCTGCTGTGAAATTCTCCACAGCAGCTTCTACAGAGGTTAAGTTTCAGCCTCCTTAACTTTCCTTACAGCTGACTGCTGATAGAGCACAAAGGACTTCATCAACAGAAGCTTCTCACGTAAAGTTGCCTTCAAGCAACCAACTGAGGGTGAGGCTGAGCTAGAAGACTATTTATGTGAAGTGAAAGAAATCGGGCTGCTGAAATCCTAAACTTTGCCAGAGCTATGGCAGAGCCCTAAACAGAGGGTCCCTTGCAGACCAGGCTCCCTCTCTACCCTCAGTGCTCCATTTGATTAGTAAGTGCTTTGGGAGAAATGTGTAAAGGGCTTGGGAACGAGTTCTTCAGTGTTCATTGGTACAATATGCCTTAATGTCACCCCTTACCTGGGCGATTATATCCCGGAGAGTCCTGGGTGGAAATCTGGTACATAGGAGATGGCCCGGAGAAGAGATGGGGAGGCTGGGGCTGACCATAGGAGTTCACTGTGAAAGGAAAGGAATAAAAAAAAAAAAACACCAAAACCTGTTAACGTTCTGGTCAGCTGTCTTGGCCCTGACTGGGTGGCAGCTCAGCCACAGAGCAACTCACTCAGACCCACGGGATACTGAGGAGATGTTCAGCTGTTGGGTCCTAACTGCAAGCTATAGCTTGGTCAGGGATCTTGTTCTTGGAACCAGCAGGAGTTTCTCTATTATTGTAAAAGAAGAAAATTTTCATCCAGAAACGCCACAAACTGGCTCAATATCATCCATTTAGTTCAGTACTAGATGACACACACCATCACAGTTGTATCAAGACCATGATATCCTCTGCGCTCTCCTCAGAGTGCATCCTCCTACTCTTTGTCCAGTCAGTATTTCTCCAACATGGGTGCAAGACCTTTCTTCTTCACAGCTCCTACAGCTCCTGCCATCTGGAATAGCAATCTCTCTACCTTGCCATTCCTTTCTGTTGGTCACCTACAAAAAACACCACCCCCTTCTCCTTTTATGGGTTTATCTTTTAAATGTATTTCTGCCTGGAGAGGCTGCCTGTCAATGGTATGCATCACATAATAACGGTTTGTCTAGGCCACAGACATAGGACATGCCAATTCTTTAAAGCCAGAGGAAGCTGAGTTGCTACGAACAGCTCTGACAGCCCAGCTCCGAGTTGCTTGGTGCTACATTGCCTGGCAAGGCAGCAAGTAGTTCAGGATATTCACAGAATTGGGCCTTCATTTACATGTCATTTTAGTCTCCTTCCTAATTACCTTGGTTCATGGATTGCTCCTGCTTGCCACTGTTCAGGGCACAAGAATCAGAGATTCGGGGGGGCTGCTGCGGGCCAACCAGATGAGGGAGCTGACCAGTCTGGGTAAGGAAGTGATTAAGGGAGTCGCAGAGGTTGGCAATATGGTGTTGATCCAGCGTCCAGTTCTTCCGCTCAGCCTGGCGCAGACTCTCCATCAGCTCTGCAGGGGACAAAGGACAATGTCAAAGACAGCACTCACATTGTGGTCTTCCCTGCAAAGAGTTTCTGTCTTCTATCCCTAAATCCTACCTTCTCCCCACAAACCCAACTTCATTGCTTCGAATCTGTCACCAAAATCCTGGAGAGCTCCATATCTAGGATACTGTCTCACTGACTCAGGTAGGGGAGGGAAGAGTAGGAGGGAAAAATCTCAGTTAGCTTTCTGACATACTTTTATGAATTAAGTCCCCCTGCCCCAAACTCTTGCAGTGTTCAAGTGCTTCAGGGTCTTTAACAGAACCCATGAAGTAGGACACCTCGTTTTACAAATAGAAGAGTTGAGTCACTGAGAAACCCATGGACTTGACACAGTTACATCGAAAAAAAGATCTGGGCACAGCACTCACATATTCTAGACTACAGCCCGAGTCACTGAGTCACTAGACCTAGCCACTAGGCCAACACTGACCTGAGAATTGGGAGTGCTCAATGCTAGACCAGTTCAGCCGGTTTACCATCTTGAAGCTTTCCTTCAGGGAATCGATGTTGGAGCACCAATCAGGGGGAAATGCTGGAATGAAATGGGGACAAGATTATTCCAATACAGACTGCCCTTTCCCTCCACCACTTCATATAAAATGATTGGCCCCTCTTCACCAAAGAGCCTGATGCTACACTAGCTAGAAATCCTTTCTCCCTTGGAAGACCAGGGATGGTGCCTCCTTTTTAATTTAGCTCCTGACTTTATCCTGCATCCCTAAACAGAACCCTAAACCCAGCGTGGATGTATCCTCCTTTCCTTCAGTAAGGAAGCAATTTCCCTCTCAGATTTCAATCATAACTGGCTTTCACTCTTTTTCCACACACAATGTAGGCACTACTTAGGGAAAGCTCGCTTGTGGAATTTCTGTCTGGGGGCTCCTCTCTGCTCCCTTTTCCCCAGCTGTTCTTTCCATCACCCCTGACTCACCAAAGCCAGCATTGTTGATTGAAGCCTGTGACTGCTGCTGCTGCTGCTGGTGCTGATGTGGCTGCTGCTGTGGGTGGGAGTGCGGGTGATGTTGTTGGTGCTGGTGGTAGCCTCCATGCTGCATTGGGGGGGGGTGCATGGACATCACTGGTGGAGGGCCATAACCTTCGCCACCCTGCTGCTTTCCCCCTTGGGATGGGCAACCCTCTGGGGTTGGAGTGTGGAGTGGGGGAGCAGCACCCACTGATGAGGGGCCTTGCTGCTGCTGCTGCTGGTACATGTAGTAGTTGTGGTTGGAGGGCTGCATGTCACCAAGGAGAGAAGAGAAACCTGCCGAGTCGAAGAAAGAGGAGGGAGCTTTAAGAGCTGCCTGGATCAGACCTCTGCTTAAATTATCCATCTCTAATTTCACACTGCTCATTCTGCTATTTATGAAGCTTTTGGAGTGCCCTCTGCAGGCTGCCAACAACTATCACTTGCACAGTTATGCTCTCACTGTGCTCCAGATTCTGTTCAAAACAAAAGCCTCTACAACAAAACCCCAGCAGGATTTAAACTTCTAGTACAGAGTTAGGCACTTAAATTCCTCCCTGGATTTTTCCTATACTTATCAAAGTAACCCATGCTCTCCTGAAATTTCATGCACCTGTTGTTTTCCTAGAAATGACCATTAAGCAAACTTAAACAACAAAACATTTAGAAAACAGATAACTTGATAAGTCTGACTTGCTGTTTCCAAAAGCTCCCTTCAGTTCCCATCTTACAAGCAGCTTGGTCAGGAACCTTCACAATTTTTCTCACACAGATCATTAGAGGTCACACATTCTATTGCTTTTGTACACAGAGCACACTGCACGCATCAGGGCTCCTTTATTGCTTTCACTCCTCTTGACTCAGTGGGAGTGTCATTTCTACCCTCTTGTATTTCAGGCATCCCCTACATGCAAGAGCATCTGATGTTCTCCATCCTTCCCCACATCAGGAGCTCAGCATTTCTCATGTCCGCTTCCCCGGTTCATTTTCCCCTTATGTTGTGGAACCTCCGGGAAAAATCACAGTGAAGGGCATTACATGCCACTAACCTGAGCTACCCATGTCTTACTTTGAGTGCCCTTACTTGACCATCCACAAGCAAGCCTCAGTTTTTCACTAGATCCAAAAATCAAGCCTTAGAGCATCCTACTACTGCGATGGGGCAAAAGGATGAATACTGCCATGCTGACTCAAAAGTTGCCCACAAAATTTCCTCAAAAACTGCAAGTTTTCCTGGACGACGTTACAGCTGAAGACTTGGGGAAGAAAAAAAAAAACCCCAGACCGCTGCTAAGCTTTTACAAACAGAGGTACACACTGAATCAAGGTTCTTCTCTACGTTTTTGTAGCTCGCTCATTCTACAACACCTCACACAACAGGCTCCTACTAGGAATCTCAAGTGCCAGCATGATGAAAGCAGTAAAAGTAATAAATTTTTATTTCACTGAAGCTACAAGTTCAGGAGGCTCTTCCTAGAGCAGCAAACTTTGCCTGCACTGTATGATGGTTGACTGCACAGGGGAAAGGCTCATCTAATAATATATTCCTTTCTACACCAGACTAATATTTAGAAGAGTGTTTAAAGGCAGGAACAACAACTGAAGATTTTTCTGAAGTGTTTTCCATGGACGTCTCATCTCATCCCTACAGCGATTCTGCCCTCTGGTGGCTGCTTCCTCAATCCCAGCAATGCAAGCTATGAATGGAGTTGTAGCCTCTCTTCCGAACTCTCAATCCACAAAGCTCAGTTCTCCAAGGCCTTATACAATCCTAGTTTTAACAGATCTGAGCAATGAGGACTTTCCGCTCTCCTTCTGGAGAAACTCCACATGCAACAATCCCCTCCCTCTCATGGTTTCTAGGCTGACAGATTGTGAATACTTCTCTAACACGCTTCTCTTCAGGACTTCATTTCTCTAAGCTTCTGCCATTTTCGTATTTGCTTTTGTATCAACACAATGTATTTTTAAATCATTATCCTCTTTATTCTGAGAGAACTAGGGGGAGCAATAGATAAAGGACATGCAGATTTCTTATCTGCTCCTGGCAGAACTAATTACAGCATGCCAAAGAAGGAAAGTCTGTTTGCACAGGCTCCTGAACGAGGAAAGATCTGAGAGATACCAAGGATAGATCAGTGGACAAGACTGTGTGGGCAGATACCTGCCCACCCCACATGACGCATATAGTTACTCACCGTGCTGAGAGGAAGATGATTTCTCCAGCATGGATTTGTAGAGATTTCGGAAGGACCAGCTAAGATCCTGGAAATTGATCTCAGAGTAGGAGAACTTGAAATCATGGTTGGCACTGTACAGTGGGGGTGGCACATCGGCCCCTTCCCGGCCCTGCCCCCCTGCTACAGTAGAGGCAACATCCACAGGCCCTGCACCCTGCTAAGGAAGGTAGAAGTAAGGCCTTTAGCTTGTACTAGTTGGGACAGGGATCCAGAGACTAGAAACAGGTAGAACATACACTGATATTCCGTACCACTTAGTTCATCTCCCAACAGATCTTCCCAAATGCCATTTTCTTTGAGGAAAATCAACCACCACCGTCCCTCTGCAGCACACTGGCTCCAGCCTTTTCTTCAGCTATCTAATACCATTATGCCTTTATCCTATCCCCATCCAGCCCTTTGTTGAAGTTCACTTCCTCCTTATTTTCGGTCTCTGCAATTTCAGCTTCTTCCCTTCTTTTTATTTTTGCCTCTGTATCACCATTTTCACAATTCCCTCTCTTCTCACCACTTCGCTTTTCCATTCACGCACTCCTTCCCCTCTCCTTTTCCCCCCACCATAAGTCTTCTATCCTTTTCCCTGCTGCTCACCTGACTGTAGCTGGGAATGGGGGTGGTGCTCTGGAGAGACAGTTGAGGGGTGGCCTCAGGTGGCAAAGAGGCTTCTGTGCTGACTGGAACAGCCCCTCGGGGGCTTTTACTTGCCTCTTGCTCTGGGGAGTCTTGTGGTATCTGTGGATGGGGAAGAAAGAGAAAAGGAAAGGAGCAGAAATCAAAAACAGATGGAGAAGCGAAACTGCAGATGGGAAGCCAGCTCCCCTGCTGTAGAAGATCATGGCTTAGAAAAGAGGAGGACTGGGCCTTAGTCACTGAAGAGTCAGGATAAAGGACTTCAAACAAGATTAACTTTGCTACTGAACAGCAGCAACAACAGCCAATCAGCAGGACGTACATGCTAGTTCATTCAGTCCTAGCCTTTGTCTCCCCATCTGTACACCCTGCCCCCAAAACGATACCATGGTGTGGTGCTGGAAGGACTCCTTGGAACAAGAAGGGAATTCCCCCTCCCGCTCCATGCTGTTTGGAAAGAACGCCACTCACGTCATCATCTGGAGGATGCCGCCTCTTGCGAGATATATCTGGACACGTATCTATTGTCCAATAAGAGCCCTGGAAAGAAGACCCATTGGTGAATGCGTGATTAAATCAGAGAGCGTCCTGAAGCAGGGGACTACTGACTCAAAGAATGCAGCACCAACTAAACATTAGGACCACAAGGACCACCCTCCAGAACATCGGACAGCCGAGACTTGGGTGTTGGAAAGAGATTCCTCTCTTGCATTGGGTTTTATTGAACAATGAGGTACGATGCTACTGGTGGAAGGCAGAATGCTCTACATTTCCATCACTCCAAGACAGGACACCAAGAAGAGCAAAGGATGTTTTGATCCAAGCTAGGCCAACTATTTTGGGCCTGCACACCCCCTTCAGTACCTTCCTCACAGCATGAATTTGTTATTGACTGATGGGAACCAACTCAATGTTCAGACTGGGCAGAGACAGCTAGAAGGATCGCTCTTTTTCCACGCTTGTGAGACTCCACTTTGAGTACCGTGCCCATTTGGGGGGTTCCCAGTGGAAGACAGACACTGACGTGCTAGAACGCATCCAAAGAGGGGCCACCATGATGGTTAAGAACTACAACACATGATGTACAAGCAGTTCACACAGAGAGATCTGTTCAGCATGGACAAGAGAAGGCTAAGGGGATCTAACCACTGTCTTCAACTGCGTAAGGAGATTATAAAGAAGACAGAATCAAACTCTTCTCAAAAATGCACAGCACGAGAGTAAGAGGCAACAAACACAAGTTACTGCAAGGGAAATTACAATCAGATATAAAGAAAAATTTCTTCACAATGATGGTGGTGCAGCACTGGAACAAGTATCTCCATCCTTGGAGATACTCAAAACTCAACAAAGACCTGTGCGTGTTGACCTCCAGAGGTCCCTTTCAACATAAAATAGTCTATAATTATATACTTATTCAGAAAACAATAGATAAAGAGAACTCTAGAGTGTGACTTAGCCCATTTTAACCTCCCATTCAAATCTGAATAATCACTGACAAGCACAGGACAGGTTTTCATTATAAACCCAGCCCAACATGCCAGTGAACACCTGTGAACATATACACTGAAGTCAGTTAGGATTTCCTGGAATAAGCCATATAATCAATGGTATTTTTGAGCAGTGATCTTCAAAGATATACTACTTCCATTTATAGATGCCAACTGAGCACCACTTAGTCCTTTAAATATAACTTGAAATAAAAGGCCTGAGCAAGTGGCCCTTTCTGGTAACTTTAGGATGGGGGGGGAGGAGACAATCCTTCTGTCTAAATACACAGCTTCTTGTCCCCACCATATCCTTCTGCTTGTTTGTTTGGGTTTTTTTAACAGTAATAATATCTGCATGCCACGATGCCAAGTCTTGGTTTTGCTAGCAATTCCCCTTTACAATCTATATATACTGACAGAGCTTTATTAGCCCTTACTTTAGCCAACAAATTCGTAAATTCTTAAGTTTTACTTGTAAATGATTTCTATAGATTTGAACTATCTGATGGTGATATTTTTTTCCCCAACATCAAATGTTTTGCAGTCTAAATAGGTAGTAGTGCTGCTCCCACTTCCGTGGATCTTGCCTCCATGAAACCCATGATGTCACATCATAGTCCTGCCGTTCACCAGCAGCCACTACGGTCTTTCATAATAGAACAGGTTGGACTAGACCCACGTTTTACACATAAAGATCAAGAAGAAGAAGAAACAAAACTAATAAAGTACATTCAACCCATTTTTTCTTTCTTCCGGTATCTTTGAAGTCCAACCCAAACTATTCTATGATAAGTCAACGGAAGATCACAGATAAGAAGAATAATCGCTAAAACCATTAAGGCCCCTTTACAGGTTCCCTTTAAGTGAATGCTTCTGTAGCCAAAGCACTGCAGTAAATCTTACTACTGCTTCCATTTTTGCCTACACTTTAGGTTTCAAATTCCAACCATGAGTTAGAAAGGGCAACCCCGGCTTATTCCCTGCAGTTTTAAATTGCTTGCCCAGGAGCATGCAGATTTCTTACCTTCCCAGGATCATCTCTTGGTCGAGGCACCTTCCGAAAACATTTATTCAGGGAGAGGTTATGACGAATAGAGTTCTGATGAGAGAGTAAGAGATATAGGTTAAGTGCTACAACAAAAACATACAGCCTTCTGAGTATGCCCAGGAGCGGGTAGAGAAAATAGAAGGATGGTGCATACTCAAAAGCGAAAGCTCACTACATATACCCGGAACAGAGCAGAACAGAAGCTATGGAAAGGAGAGGGACAGATCAGGATGAATAATATGGGGCTGAACCACCTATATATCTACAGAAGGTGCAATGAAAATAGTATCAGTGTGATGCAGATTCTTGGTTGTTGTTGGGGGCGGATTTTGCAGGCTCCTTCTTAAGGGGCCACCACATACATACAACAAAATTCTTAGAGAAAAGTGGGACTTCCAGCTCTGCATTTTCTCCAGTTCATCAACTTAGTTTCACATCTTTTTATTTTGCTCAGTGAGGATATTTTGCACATAATTAAGAAAGTAAGTCTTGCAATTAGACAAAAAGGGTACTTTAGCGATGC